GTTAGATGACAGATGATAAAGCATTTTTAGCACCAGTACTGCAACTTCAAGAAATATTTGTTAGCCTAAAATGTGTTATATTTTGTGTATAGCCTCAGGGAACGAGTAGTCTTTATTACAACAAATTATCTAGGTGAATATTATTCTCTATTGTGCTTGTTCGGAAATTTACTTCCAGTTTATCTCTTTCCTCTCTCTTTTTTTTTTACTTGCCTAATCAAAATGGGGTAATACGACAAATTTTAGTAAATTATAAAGTAATACAATAATTTTGAAATATGGATATAAGTAGTCACCTATTTTGACTTTACCATATTTTTAAATGGACCAATTTAAATTTATTAAGTACAAAATGTTTCATCTGTTTAATAAAAGTCAAATTTGTAAAAAATATACTAATGATATGCATTCAAAATATAGTTTTTTACTTTTTCTTAAACTGAGATCTACAAAAATTTGGATTTCTAGCGTTTTAGTGTCTTCACTTTCCTTTTGAGTCTAGTATTGTTGAGTTAAGTTGAGTCTCTTTAAGTCTAGAGATTAGAGGTACATTTTGAAACGAGTAAAAGTCGAGGTGAAAAAATTAAGCCACCAGAAATACTTAAAAAGGTACCAGACAAATGATTATTAAAAAATATATTGAAGTATAATTGGGAAAGCAAAGAACGTCTAGTACCACTGAGGGAAAAATGATAATATTTTGAAAATATCACTGGCAAAAAAAGATTAAATAAATAAATCGGAGTAAGCAAGGAAGCAGTGAATCATATAAGCGCTCCAACGAACCAATATTTATATGTCGGATAATATTTTATATTATATTTTACAAATAAGGCCTGACTCTCTGTCTGTTTGAGAAAAATTAAAATCTCCGAAACTTACAAAGCCTAGATATGTCACCCCTCTACAATTTTTAATTTTAATATTCATGCCACCTGCTAGCGGATCTACGAAGTTAAGTGGTATGACGTTATTGCTAAACATACAAGTTTTTTCTATTGATAGTCCGGCATACATCAAGCTTTGTTAACAGATTCACTTGTTCTGTTTTGTTTTGTTGAAGGTTAAATTCATCTATCCATCCCATCCTGGAGAGGGCACCCAATGCTACTATGTACATAATAGATAATTTAACACTTTAGTATAAATAAGATGATCATAAATATGGAAATTTACAGGACAATAGGAAAAACAAAACCACAGAAATCAAATAAAAACGGGGTAACATTATGGATGTACCAGGAAATACACAAACTGACGAAAAATTTGAACTGTTGAAGAGATCGAGTGTGGTATAAAAACCGATTTTTTTTTTAATTTATGCCACTTTAACCAGATGGCCTCTACGTGCTTGTACTCATTCCATAACTGGAAAACTGAGGTAGATAAATAATTTGGCTTATAAAATAGATCCAACTACTTTCTCTACATATCATTTTTCTAAATTTAAGACAACTTACTAAAACGCAAGAGGAAAGTGACACTTGTATACTTTTAAGAAACTGTTTCGAATATTTTCCTGTATTTTGTATCTAACGACTTTAAGCCAGTTCTATAAGAACTAAGTTTTATAAAATACAGAAGGCAAAAACAAGAAAATAAACAAAATTGTCTGCATAATCTCAATGACAGTTAACAATTGACATCGATGACAAATGACAATGGTGTTTACGATTTTATATATATTATATTTCTTTTGTGTAAAACTGTTGCAATCAATCTCAAAAAGCAGTACTTAATTCTTTTTAGTCATTAAACAGTGCAAACAACCAAATTTCCTACTGGAACAGTTACGTTACCAAAGATACGTCATCTCTTTACCGATTTTCGACATATCACGGTTTTCCTATTGAATTACTTAGATACATATTTTACAAAACGGAGAACAAGAAGCAATAATGTAATGCAAAATTAGACAACACCTATACGAAAATTATTATACATAGCAACTATACGTAGTAATAATATAGGAAAAACGTTCGAAACAGTTATTCTCATCATCACATTGATGTAACAACAATTATTTAAGTCAAGCAAATGCTACAATTTTAAGTAGTAATAAATACATGTTGAGAATATGCAGGATATCATATATAGGAATTTTTGTATAATTAATGTCACATAATACTATTAATTAGATCTGCAAACTAATACTTTACGGGTTACCAAGGATTGTAAAATATAATTTCGTATTTTTTATACTAACTTGAAGCTACTACGTACTTCCCAAAGTTTTCTTGAACCCATACAAGCTCTTCACTAGGTTTGTGACATCAAGATTTGAGATAAAATTAGATTTATACCAACCGAGGGAGCAAGCAGAATTCCGTTCAAGTTATGGTACCAATGACCAACCCCATACAGTACACTCATTGAAAAATCTATGGAATACAATAAACTTCTTGTCCTCACATTCATAGATTTATAAAAGCGATGAATGACAGCAGGATCGACCATAGGTATAGTGAACTTATTTACAAAAAGAAAGCTATGACTGTTAAGATCCACGATAAAACCCGACCAATAAAAATAAAACGTGGGATAAGGCAAGGGGATACATTGTCACCGAAATTATTTATAACGGCATTAGAGTATGCCTTTAAGATGGTCAATTGAAACCACAGAGGAGTAATAATAGACGGCGAAAAGCTTAACTACCTCCGCTTCGCATATGACATCGTTCTTATCACAGATAATTTAGGAAAAGCCACAGATACAGTATTGTGCGAATTAATGGAATCACTGTGAATTTTTTTTCATTTTTTCAATATTCACAGTTGGCAACACTACCTACACAGTTGACAGCTGACCACGCATTGAAAACATAACCTTACTGTGTGTTGGTGTGTTTGAGTGTGTTTTAGGTAATTTCTTACCAAGCTTGTGTTGTTTTGGGGGTTTTTGTACTATTTTGTGTTGTTTTTGGTTTTATTCCAACAAGGATATTACGCCTAGTAAGCGTGAAAAGATTGTCACGTTGAGTGAACACACTTCCATGTCACAAAGAGAGATTGCTAGAACGTGTGGAGTGAGTCAGGGGGTAGTAAGCAAAAATTTGAAGCGTAAACGAGAAACGGGATCAGTGTGAAAAGGTTAGGAAAATGTGGAAGAAAGAGAAAAACAACACCAGCAGATGATAGATTTTTACTTCGAAAGAGCAAATTGGACCTAAGAAAATCAAGCCAAGACCTACAACAAGATCTAGCAGCATCAGCTATAGTGATTCATGACTCAACTGTTCGTAGAAGACTTTTGGAGAATGGTAGAAGGGCAATTCGTCCACAGAAAAAACAGCTTCTAACTGAACGAATGAAGAAACAGGCTACTGTGGGCCAAAAAATACTCTAATTGGACTGTAGGCGACTGGAAAAAAGTCCTATTTACAGATGAAACCCACTTTATAGTACAGGGACAGCGGTCGAAATTCGTCAGGAAGTCTGACAATGAAAAGCTTACACCATCTCATATTGATCAAACCGTAAAACATCCAGTCAAGAAAATGTTTTGGGGATGTTTTTCATACATGGGGGTTGGATCTTTGGTGCCAATTGAAGGCATGATGAACAGCCAAAAATACAAATCCATGTTGGAAAAGTATTTGGACAAACAACTCCAAAAATGTCAACCCCAAGGAGGAGCGATTCTTCAACAGGACTCTGCTCCCTGTCACAAATCAAAGGAAATGATGGCATTTTTCAAAAATAAGAAGATTGTTTTAGATTGGCCCGGTAATTCGCCAGACCTCAACCCCATTGAAAATTTATGGGCCATTTGCAAAGCTAGACTGCAAAAAATCGACTGTACCACTAAAACAAAAATGATAAAAGCGGCCATTCAGGTTTGGTATCGAGATGAAAGGATATCTGACAACTGCCAGAAACTCATAGAATCTATGCCAAAACGGGTAAAAGCAGTAATTGCTGCCAAAGGGGGACATATTTCCTACTGAATGATGTAAATTTACCTTTATAGTTTTGTCAAAATATAATTTTTTACTAAATAAACTGTTTTTTCATTAAAACAGCCTATGATTCCATTAATTCGCACAATACTGTATGTTAAATGAACTGGACTTTGCATGTTCGAAGGTGGGCCTCAGAATGAACTTGATCAAAATTAAGTTTATGACAGGTATAGTCTCCAATAACCATTTAACTATTCAAGACAAAGTAGTAGAACTGGTGGAGAAATTTACGTATTTGGGTCATGAAATAAGAATCAGAAGCGATAACCAAACATGCGAAATCCAAAGACGAATTACTTTAGCGTGAGCAGCCTTTGGAAAACTGCGAGACACACTTAGGGACAACGAACCAATTAGCCTCAAAAGAAAAGTATTGGACGAATGCGGTATTACCTGTCATGACCTACTGCGAAATGAAAATAAAAAGAATAAAATAAAAAATAAAATGAAATAAAAAGAATATATTAATTTGAGTATTTAAAATTTTAAGTAGGTATATACTGGCCTTATTCGCCAAGTCAACACAATATTACTGTGAATGAAAACTGATTTCATAATTATTTTCCTTACGGGCCCCGAAAATTTAGGAGGATTCATATTAGACACCTGATTTCGGCTAGTTTTCACCACTTAAAACGCGTGATTTTGGATGACTAATTTCATTTTTTGTTTACTTGCGTTTAGAAACAAACAATCTTTGGGTAAACAAACAAGTTATTAAACACCAATGGTAAAAGTGAATGGTACTAAAAAGAACTGTGTTGAGGTTAATGTTATTCACTATTTACTATTTTTGTCATCTTTTTGGATACTTCTAGAACTATCCTCATAGCTGGTTGCTTTTTAAAAACTAATACTGTAAGTCAAAAAAATTTACTACAAACTTTACAAAGTTGTCAAATACTACATACTGCGATAAATATTTAACCCAATAACTAATTACACTTTTTTTACTTTGACAATCAAATTTACAATTAATCAGTCAGTAACTTGTTAGGAAAAAATCAAAGAAATAAATTAACAAGTCTTACATCTTGTGACATCCTGCATATTTAATAAGAAAAACATACCTTTATTCGTTTTGTAATATTCGAGAAAGATTTTTGAAACAATCTTAAAAATAGAGAGAATTTTATCAGAAAGCCGTCTACTGTGCTCAAGAAACTAATTACTAAGCTTTGGTACTTTCGTTTAATTGTTTTTAAGGTCAGCATATTTAATTGGCAGATTCTCTTTCTACAGCACGTGTAACAATTACTAAATAGAGAATTAAATAAAGAAGATGTAATATGGTAAACTGCGCATCCTTTCACGTTTCCAATAATTTTCTTTCCTCTAATAGTGATCTAACGTAGTTAACTTCTTTCAGCACCTATCTCCAATGACAAAGTACTTGTTGCATCGTCATTTATTTGAAATTTATGTAATTTACGCCACAATGTCATGGCCAACTTTCACTTATAAACAGAAAAGGTGTATTATACGCATGACTATAATTATGAAATACTTCCAAATGACGAATCAGCTGATAAATGACAAGAGAGGGAATTTTAGAGATACTCTAATATACCTAATAACATAGACATACAATACAAAGGAACTGGGCTCTGCAATAGAAGCCCTTTCCCCCAATGCGACAGATATAACTGATGCAAAGCAGTCCCTTCATCTCTTTCGAATGGGCCGGGTTTATCGAACATGTAACCTTCCCATTGGCCATTTAAGTTATGTGGTCAATAAACCAGGCCCATTACAAAGAGTTACAGGAACTGCTTTCCGTCATTTTTCTCTATCGAACCGGGGCAACGGGTCTGTACTTTCTTTATTGTAATTTATTTGTTTTTAATGGTATTGATTTTCAAAAAACTCTAAGAGGAAAAAATATTATTTAAAGTTTTCTCATACTAAATGAAATATAGATTATACAAAAATATTTATAATTATAGTACCTAAAAAGTCTAGTGTGATATACTTCATTGTACTGCATATTTAAAGTTCATTAGAACAAAACGAACTGACACTATCTTAACTAAAAAAAATAGTACCAATATTTACGTCTAGATTATTTTTTTTTTGCATTGCTGACGTCTAGAGAAAAATCTGCCAATAAATGGTGACTCCCTATGTACGAAACTTAACCTCTGCAATGGTATTTATTGATGATCAATCAAGGAGTGTAAGGTGGTGGGGGTATGCAATAAGGCGGCGGAGGTACTGGATGATGAAATGTGTCCAGACCGTCGTCGAAGGCGTCCAGAAGACATCTGTCGTCGTCTCTCAGGTACCGGGAAGTATGGAATGGAAGAATTACGGTGTAGACTATTCCGCAGCATGTAACAGCACCTAAAACGTTACATAAATTATATTTCTTCCTATATATGCAACCTTCTTCTGTGCATAAAGCAACAGCAAATTGGGGTAAAGTTTTAGCGACATTTGTGACAATTAAACAGTGACGGGTTCACCTATGTATAAATAGAAGATAACACTTAGTACCAACAAACACCTCGTAGATATGCCATAGACTACAGGCCGAGCATTGGAACGATTCCCACTCCATCTCACGTAAGGTGAGGTACTCCATACTGACGATCGATTATTGCCCAGGTTGTATATACGTTTACTAATAAAACTTTTTGTTTGTTTTAAGTTACATTGTAATACTTCGCACACATCAGTAATGATTTATTGCAATATTTTATCAGGATAAATTACAGTTTTAAGTTTTTAACAACAATTCTAATAATCCAAATGAGAAAAAACAATAAATTGTGATTCATAAAATGTACTTAACTAATTAAGTAACCTTCATTACTAGTAAGCTATTAAAGTTTTTATTACATCTTACATTTTTTTCTGTGTACATATTAAACAATCGTTTCAAATGTACACAATATTATTATTTATTTCCAGAAAAACAATACCTTTCATTCACCTAGTAGTTAAAAAATTAATGTTAATTTGATGTAAATACTTTTACTTGGAAGTCATGATAGTGGCTAAAACTGTTTATTTCATAAACGAAAATAACTTTTCTAGAATTTGAAATTACGAAAAAGTACATACATTTTACAGTTATTTGGAATAGATGTTAGCATAGCAATAACAGAGATAGAGGTAGAAACGCCGAACAAAACTTCAGTATAGACCAATATAATTTTGAGGTAGTAAATAAGTTTACATATTTGGGTTCTCTCATAACAAACGATAATGACACATCTGAAGAAGTTAAACGGAGGGTACTGCTAGCAAACAAATGTTATTTTGGACTAAGCAAGCAGCTAAAAAACAGAAATTTAAGCCAGAAAACCAAACTAATAATATATCGAACACTCATCCTACCAGTGCTGACATATGGGTCAGAAACATGGACCATCTCCAAAACAGACGCAAATCTTCTGCTCGTCTTCGAAAGGAAGATACTAAGAAGAATAATGGGCGCATTCTGTGAGAATGGTATTTGGAGAAGGCGATATAATTTCGAATTGTACGAGAAGTATAAAAAAATAGTAAATGGTAGAGATGTAATATCTTTCATAAAAATAGGTTAGGACGATGTCGACGATGCAATGACCGCCAGAGATCTAACAACTGAAGATTGCTTCGACAGAAAACGCTGGAAATTAGGATGCGAGAAGCGGCGCCAGCTGTAGAAGACTCGCTTGTTATATATATTATATATATAAAAATAGGTAGGCTTAGATGGGCTGGACATGTGTCAAGAGCAAATGAAAATTACCCACCCAGACGAACTCTATTATCGGTCCCAGTGGGAAATAGGAGTAGAGGCAGACCACGACTGAGATGGAGGGACGGTGTGGACGAGGACGCAAGGAAAATCGGAGCGGCAAATTGGCAACGGTTGGCGATGAACAGAAACGACTGGCGAAATAGACTGGGGAAGGTCAAGGCTCAACTAGAGCTGTAGCACCACTGATGATGACATACATTTTCCTAATTTAGGACAATTTTCCTTTATTTTACTGTTTATGATATTTATGAAGTTTAAGTCAAATGTATGTTCTATGGTTTGGGGATATCAAGAAGATATCACAAAGAATACATGTCTGGCTGGTGGCAAAACAGTGAGCAATTTAATCAGAGCTTTCTTGAAACCGGCGATCCAAAAATATCGAATGAACTACTTCACAGTAACAATATTGTAACAGTGGAAACCCTTAACTTCCAGATATTAACCAAGGAAACATGGTCATTATTTAAAAAAAAACTAGGAAGTGGTGCTCCTAAAAAATCCCAAAAAGCAGCCTTAATAATATTCAGGGCACAAATAGATAAAGCGCATACAATCTACGTGAAGAGAAAAGCGAGAAACATGAAGAATACGGAACACTACCACTCCTCTACAGAGACTCTTAAAGACGTTACAGGCAATAGGCAACGAAAAGACATATTAGAGGCTCTTAAAAACGTTAAGTCAGCAAAAGCAGCAAGGTTTGACAATATTCACCATAAATTCCTGATAAATTGTGGCAAATATACAAAAGTTTGGATGGCTCGATTGTGCAAATATCAGCAAACTTATCGACAATACCTAAAAACTGCTAGAGAGTCTTATATATAATATAATCAGGCCAGAACTATTCCAGTAATCCCAGTCCCAGTGGTGGAAAACCTGGGACGAGCAATGAAAGAAGCTATAAAAGAATAATTAGTCAAGAGGTGAGCAGGATGCCTACTGGTGGAATACGGACATCGAAGAGCTCAGAGATCAATGAATAGCTATGAGGAGAAGGATAACGAGGGCAAATCCAGCAAGTCGAAATAGTATATCACGCACAAAAGGGAGAACTCTAAGTCACTGGGTGGATTGTGGTAAAAGGCGACTGAATTACTTCCTGCCGCAAGTGCTCACAGGAAATGGGTATTTTAGGGCGTATCTTCATAGGTTCAGAAAGACAAATATAGATAAATACAAGAAACAACATTATATACATAACACAAAGGCTTAGCGGTATGCATAATCCAGGCTTATTTGCCAAAATGTAACTCTATTTGTGCGTCAAATATCGATTTAAACATCATAACAATATTTAGTCATAGTTATGCAGACTTACCTGATGCAGCTATGAGATAAAAACCAATGCCATAACTAACTGAGGATTGTTGTTTGGGATAGACCTTGGCCAATGACATCTCTAGAAGAACTAGTGTGTAATATGATACACCAATTATTACCATTATCCAAATAACTAAAATATGCATAAAAATGTATAACCTACACTCTCAAATAAGTACCAAAATATAATTCATGTTTTAGTACTAAAAACTCTAGTTCTAAAACGGATGGTAAGAAAATCTGTACAAAACCGACAGAACACTTTTTTTTTCGCGTTTGTATCATTAATTACTGGAAAGAGCCTCCTTATTAGTTTGCCTCTATTGCTGAGATTTAAGAGTATATTGTTTAATAACTTTTTTGGACATTTTCTGCTGTTGGAAAAGCAACTATACACTTTGTAATTAAATTTGTCATATTTTAAATTAAATTACTGCCACCCTTGAAACTTGCCAGATGTCCGAATACCGTATGTTGTCAAAAGCCACTCCTCCTTTACATTCAGATTCTTACGCTTCCTAAAAAAATCACTCAGATTTCCGTCTCCTCGCTGACACAGTCTTATCACATAACTCAAAGCAGTTGTTCTCAGTAATTTCTCTCATGCACAAAAAGTTTAGTTTAGTACTCTCTTTCTCTCTCTCCCTCTCTCTCTCTCTCTTTCTCTCCCTCTTAAGTTGTTGTGTATTAGTATAATAAATCAGTGAAGAAAATATGACTAAATAATTTCAACCAAAATCCTATAACCCATTTCGACAGGTCTTCACAAGGGTTTGACGCCCAACAGAAAACTCGTAAATGCACATCTGCTTTTTCTATATGGTCCTTCGAGCCGGATTCCTTTATGGTCCTTCACCGCTTTTCTTTTATGGTCTTGCAACTCTATTAGCAACAAAGGTAGTCCAACAGGAATGGAGGTCATCTCAACCAAGCAAGAACAATCTTTGACTCACTCCATAAATTTATGGAATCAATGTGCGGGATTCTAATTTTAATAGTAGTAACAATTCTTTTAATACGTTTTGAGCATATAACAGCACCAAAAAGTTCGATTCTGGGAAGGCTAACAGTTTTGAGTGATGCCACCCTACTTTTGAAGGCTATAAGAGTACAAGAGGAGGTGTTACAGTCATAAAAGCATATGCACGAATACTAGCACCTGACAAGGGTGAACCCTTGTGACGACCTAATGAATTGGTTTACAGGCTTTTAATGGTTGTAGGTTGCTGATTCCTTATTTTGCCGCTTGTGGGTTTGAAATCATTCAGTAAGATAAAAGTAAAGATATTTAACAGGACAAAAAATAATAATACCTTCGTATTTTTACACATTTTACTTGAAGAAAGAAACTGTTTTGATTGTACAAAAGGATTATTCAGGTAGGTATTGATCAATTTAAAAATAAATTAAATTAAAATTTTAAAATTTAATTAGCAATTGTAAACTCGTATTTTCCAAATAAAGTACTAATATATTATACAGTTAGAAATATTTAAATGCTAATAATTTTTCTTCGAATCATTTTAGGAATATAATAAAAACGAGACAAAATGGGAAAATAAGTATGCCAAAAATTGTTACTCTCAAGGAAGCCAAGAGGCCAATAAAGAAAAAAAAAGCTAAAAAAATCTTGTACAGATTTTTGAAGCTTCTAAAAGGTATAAGAGCTGATGGCAAATTCTTGAAGGTGCACAGATCATTTTGCTTTGTTTTTTAATCAATCATAAAAAGTGAAAAAATCATGTGAATCGATTATTTGAGGCTTCAACTTTAAAAAATAATAAAAAATTTTGAAATTTCATCAAAATTGCTATTAACAAACCGTTTAGCAGGTTTTTTTTACTTTAGAAGTTAGAAAAGCAGGACTTTAGCGGTTTGAAAAAGTTAAATTGATTGTCAAAATAGCTTATTTACGCTGTAAAAATTTTTCCCCTTGGAATACATAAATTACATTTATCTATACGAAAATTTTACTGAGTTATAAGCAAAAATGTTGTTAGGACTCAAATATATGTATAATTTAAGTAGTATTTTTACTGGTAAGGATGGTAAATTACTGCTAAGGATGATACCACATTTGCAGTTTTCCTATAGTAATTTTACCTCTTGTAATGAGGGATACAATGTTTTACCGCATTTGAATCAGCAGAAACACAATTATAATCTGTTCGGTACTTAGCAGAGCCAAGGTGACAACATAGTACTTCAAATAAACACAACACTACCAAGTCAGACTGAAAAATCCTATAATGGGAACAATAAATAATAAATGTTATTCTCTGTCATTTAACTTACCGGTAAACGTCCCCATAATAGCATACTTCCTGAGTGTTTTGTATACATAATGTTTGGGACCAATAATCTCCAAAAAGAACCCCATCAAAGCAAATATTATTGTCATGAAGCAGAGTAGGATAGTGATTCTCATCAAGTTAACTATTTTTGTAGTAATACAGTCATAATCTGAAACAGTATGATGTGTAAATGTAGTTTTAAAATAAAAATAACAATACCATACATAAAAGGATTATCGGAAATACTTGAAAGGGTAGGAATTAAATTAAACATTTCAACAACATTCAAAATAACAAATACATTGAGATCTATTTTGTCTAAAACCAAACCTTTCAATGAACAAGAAAGGACAAAGAATTTTATTTATAAAATACCTTGTGAATGCGATCAGTTTTATTTAGTAAACTCAATCTCATATTAAAAATAGAGAATTTGATAGATCTCAAATATGTTGACACGCATGGGATTATAAACATAGAGTTCAATGAAATTACTCAAATATAGTCCTTAAAGAAACGGATGACAAAAAGTGAAAATTTAAAGAAGCGGCTCTAATTATGCTAAATGAGACCAATTGTGTCGCAAATTCCTCGGCAGACTGTAGTAGGATCTGGTTAACCATATTAAAAGAGGAAGTTATTAAAAGGAAAATACCAGTACCAGTTTTTTAAATAACAAACATATAAAATCAGAATTTGGTGTTTATTAAAACAGGTGATCCAGTGCAAGTGTTGCAAACATGAATAGTTGCTTTTCTTTTCTTTTGGGTCCTGTATACTAGGCACTCCTTCCTTAGGACTCGTTTTACCTTTTTTGAAGGATCTCCTGTAACGTAATTTGCTTCAATAATTGTTTTCTCTATTTTTTCAAATTTGTGCTCTCCAAGCTCAATTTTATTTTTATTTTCAACACCACTCTCTGGGAACAGTCTCCAAAATTAATAGTAAGAAATTATATAGCGACCTTCTTGGTTGTCCTGAATAATTATTGTATAAAATTAGTTAATTTCGTAACAATATTTGCAGTACCTGAATAAACAATTTCTTATACCAATGCAAAGTTTTCCGAGAGCACGGATAATATGCGAGCATTTGGTCTTGACAGGCAATGCTGGACATATGTTTGTTATATTCAACTGTGGGTTTCAACTATGCTTGACCTCATGTGTTGGTGGTTTCCGTCATTGTATTACCAAATTCCATAGTTAAGTATAATACCTCTCTTTTGTCCTTCCACTTGCCTAAGTGAACTCAGTTGCGAAATACGGATTTATTCTCTCATTTTTGTAATCTTTTCTGTACAACAGGCACTGGATTACTCTTTCTATTTCTTTTTAATGTTCCTGTACAATAGGTTGCTTTTGTAAGCAGTTTTCGTCCCAATTCATAGCTATTATAAAACCTGTCCATATATGAATGTCCAAGATTGTATTTCTCCTCTAACAACTTCAATACCACTTTTTCTGTGTGACCAGTACCGCTGGTTTCATCCCCTGCTCCACTGTAAACGATAAAATTGTAAACCAATCGATCAGGTTCTGCCAACATAGTTTATTACTATACTTATGACGTTTATTTTGTATATATTGCCGGAATATAAGTACCTGGAGTGTGAATTGATTTCATTTTGCTATTGAAATGATTCACTACAGGATGTATTTTATGTTAACAATCTTGATTATTTATATCATTTGATGCAAAATGAAGGCATCGCATAATTATTAAAAATCTGTTTTTGGATATGTACTTCGAAAAATTAATTTTGAACAACCTGTGTGTGAACCAATAGTCCGACAATCTTGGGAGTTGTATTATACCTAAAATAAATTGAAAAATTTGTATTGCATAATCATGCCACTTCAAAACTAAATGGTACCTGTTAACAATAATAATCCAATAAAAGTTTTCAATTCTTCCACAGTCAGCTCCTTCCAGGAGGTAATACAAGACTTCTGTTTTGTGTTTTCAGATGGAAAGATGGTTACAGCATTTTCGTTAGTATTTGTAACAATCAGTTCCAGCAAATATCATCAAGTAATAATGTAAAAAATCAATTGGACTGTTGCTGTCGAGGTTTGCCAAGAATGATCGACGGCTCCGAAATTCAAGTTTTGTAGATCTTTTATATCTACCGACGTATGACAATTTCTACCAGAAGTAGTAGCACAGGGCAATTCAACTTGCGGAGTTGTTTGATTTGCTAATTCTTTTGTCAAATGTTCCAATTCATAATCGTCATCAGTACACAACTCATCACTGTTTAAATATTCTTCACCGCTGCATCCTGCAGACATATATTCATCCTCCTCTTCAGATTCTAAAATATGTCGCAATTCATCATCTTTTAGAGGACGCTTGCGCTCATATTTTGATAGTTTATGAGAAAGCCTCATTCTCTTTTTATTTACACCAGACGGTCCTGCTTCATTACCACTAGAAGATCTCCCTGCACTACTTTACAATTTTAAATAACAATAATAGAACTAAAAATGACAACGACAACGTTATTTAAAACAATAACACTACTTAAATACAAAAAACTGGGATTTGTCTGTTTACATTATGACTTAACACAGAAAAGTAAGGCAGTTGGGGTGCCATAAGAGACCTACTGACATGATATCGTTCTCTGAGCCTTTGATGTAAGCAACCAGCATTACAGATGTTTTGTATAATGTTCATCTAACATGTTTATCAAATTTTATTCTATTCAGAATATTGCCGGCGTTCCATTGATCGCATATTTTTGCTATGACCGCGTTACACCCATGGGTGTATGTGGCAACTCTACAAAACCTTAAAATACACCCACGGGTGTAGTTGGAAATGAACGTGTTAAAGGATTTTTTATGCTTTTTCAGTAAAATTGTGTCAGTTTTCCATATAATTAACCATTCTTTACCTTTAGAACCTAAAATCAAATAGCGATCTTAATGACGTTAAATCTTTTGCATATTTTGTTAATTAAATATTGTTATCACCAAATTTATCGAAATTTGGTCAAATTAAGAGTGTCACGAAAAAGGCTTTTTATTTGCAAATTTCTCCAAATGTTAATTTTATTAAACTAGTTCTAAACGTATTTCCTCTTCCTGTGGTATTTTATGTAATATGTAAAACTAATATCTGTGAATAAACCACACTGATAATTAAATAGCTACATTATTTATGACGTTTTGACTTCCACCTCGGAAATCACTTTCAAAATATAAATTTTATTTTGAGAATAACATTAATATCTTTTCAAATGAGAGTTTAATCATTTTCATTATATATAATACCACAATTAATCACAATAGTCATTGTAAGGCTCTATTTCACGTTCTTAATTATTCAAAAATTTGTTTTTAAAAAAATTTATTAGCTGAAGTCAGCAAGTAAAATAAAAATTGATTCCCAAAAATATATTCATTGTTGTTGAACATAATGCACAATGCACTTCATAGGCAGAGTATCTTCGGCCAATAAGACAATAAAAGAGTATAGACAAAATGGCAACAACATAATTAACATAACGGATACATATAACATAAACAGATTACATGAAACAACATATAAACGTAACGGATGAATGGTTTTCTAATACCAATAAATTATTATTGCAGAAAAATCATTGTATAGTGTATGATTCCATAAAGTTCTTCTTACCACAGGAGACAACATTCTTGTCAAATGAAGTATACCACACCACGGAAAAGACAAAAAATTAATACTTCTAACAAGATTTTATACCTCTAGGAATAATCAAAACGATCGAAAATATCTTCCAAAACAACACAATAAAAGAAAGTAGAAGAAGAACTAACCAACCCTATTGAAGCTGGCAATGGAATAAGACAGGGAGATTCCCTGAGTCTTCTATTGTTCAACCCAATTATGGATGAAATAAAAAAAGTAAGAACTAAAAAAGGATACCAAATGGGAGAAAACCAACTTAAAATAATCTGCTATGCAGACGACGCAATACTATGTTAATTTCCCTAAAAAAGACAAAATACATGGTTAGAACAGAAAATTTACTAAGATGTATTGGAGCTGGAAGGTCAGATAATAAAACAAGTGATGGAGTTTAAATATCTAGGCATCTCATTATCTAGCTACGGAAAGCTCGAAACTGAAGTGGAAGATCAAGTGAATAGAGCAAACATCCATAGGCTGCCTAAATGAAGCAATATGAAGAAATAAAAATATCGGGAAAGAAACGAAGGGCAGAATTTACAAAACAGTCATCAGACCAATAATGACATACGCAGCAGAAACAAGACCTGACACAGAAAGGACAAAAAGGATGTTAGAAACAGATATTATCCCCCCGAAATTTCTTACAGCTGTACTCGAATATATGTTCAAGCAAAAGGTATGAGAGGATAACATGGGAATTAATATAAATGGAGAGGATATGAACTACCTAAGATTTGCCGATCACATTGTTACAATATCTGATAGAGTTGATAAAGCTACAAAAATGCTGTAAAAACCCTATAAACCATCAAAAAAATTGGTCTTAAAATAAACACCTCAAAGACAAAATTTATAACCCAATTTGTAGTCAGTGAAAAAATTCAGTTTTAAAGCCATAGCATCGGGCCAAGTAATAGCTTACAAATATTTAGGGCATGAGATTCGCTTAAGCTGAGATAATCAGACAACTGAAATTCAAACAAGGATAGGTCTCGCATGGGTTGTGTTAAAAATGTTGGGTTGCATAGATTCAACAACATTTTTAAGTCTAATATTACAGTTTGTTTAAGAAGAATGGTTTTTAATCAATGTGTTTTATTGATCCTTGCATATAGTGCAGAAACACTAACCCTAACAGAAGGAACAATTAATAAAATAGGAGTTCCACAACACGCTATGGAAAGATCATCAATGTTAGGTATAACCATTAGAGATAAAGTACCAAACCCAGAAGAAAAAAGAAAGAACAGAAGAACAGACACAATTGAAAAATGGCTAAATGGGCTTGGGCCAGATATGTTGCCAAATTGACAGATGGTAGATGGACTAGAAAGATTCTGGAATGGCCACCAAAACAAGAGACACATCGAAACAGAGGATGACTACTGACTAGAGGGACTTATTATATAGAGTGAATCACCACAATTGGATGTAAGAAGCTCAAGATAGAAATAGGTGAAAAATTTTATAGGAGGCCTACGGTCAGCAGTGGAAATATAGGCTAGTTGAAGATGACTCTATATTATATAACAATTTTTATTTATTACCCCAAAAGATTTTAGGTTCTAAAAGGCATACTCCTTATAAGTATGCAATAATTTGTAAGATCTTTTAGCCTTTGGTAGACTTTGTTGAGTGATAATTATTAAGGATCAAGTATCTTAATCTCTCATATCAACTACTTAACATTGAATAAACCTCAATCAATTCTTCTTACAAACTTGAATAATACCATCATCCTTATCTGCTGAAGAATCAAGAACATATAAACTACTTTCCAAAAATAGAGACGTGCAAATATATTAAAAGCCCCATTAACAAATTGAAATAATAATATGTTACCTATATTGAAATACAACTATTTATTTTTACTGTTCATTTATTTTTAATATCTTTTAACCAGCACATCCAATACTTATAACATATTATCCATGTGATTACTTCCAAATAAAGTTTCTTGCTAATTTGTATTCTGTATCAATATTGTCATCTTCTTGCACAAGTCCCAATAAGTATATATCATTTGAAATACATCTCACATAAAAATGTTCCAAACTTTAAATCTATAAAAATTAAAAAGCAAGTATTTTTTACTTACCAGAGTAATCAATGTCCTCATCAGAAGAAAATCCAAACCAAAAGAATTGTCCCAAGGTAAGGTATGGTACACATACAGTTCCAGTTATTGAAAACCATGTCAAGTCTACCAAAGACATACTAATTAAAGTAATGGTTAACATGTGAAAAGTTGCAGAAATGACATTGCTCTCATCCTCTTTTGGGTGGACCCATTGGGTAATGCAGTTTATAAGCCTTTGAGACATTCTGAAACAAAAGATATTTGTTAACTTAGTAAGAATGTGTTATACAATTAGATATATAGTAGGATGAACTGTGTAAAAACAATAAATATGGTGCTAAAATGTTTTTTATTATAAAATGAAAGATTAATATAACCAGCAGTTGAAAAAGAGACGTTTTACCTTTGTTGGATAGTTAGTGACTCCCACACAACGGATCTTAACCTGTAAATGTTTATACTTAATTAATTATATCAAAATTCGCTTTTAAACATTTGCAGGTAAAGAGCATTCATAATTTTATTTCAGAATTTTTTGAAAACTATGTTCGCAATGGAAATTGAGTACTTCTACTTCCAAACATATGAAGAGCACAGGGAAAGAAAGAACTTGATAAGTCGAATTTAATCCTAGTAGTTGGCAACAATGGCATGCGACATGAGAAACTGGTATTATATTGTAAAATGTTTTTTTATGACAATATTTCATTTGATATTTTCTGCATTAAAAATATATTTGCTCTAAGTATATCTTTTTTATTCCGTTCAAAAAATAGACAGCTAATGATTTTATTGCGAAATAACGTGATAAGTCCTTCTTTACAGTGGAAAAACTTGGCAATGTAGATAAATAAAAAACAATTAATTCCATTAACACCTTGACTGCTGTAGTTAAATACTTAATATACTAGTTCTTGCTTCACATGCCCCCGGAGATACGTTATGGTTTATTCTGTCTATGCGTCACATGCCGCATGTGGCATGTGTGTGCATATAGGTCCTTCATGCCTTCTAGTACACAGAAGTATAACTTTTGCATATACTTTATACATGAAACTATTATAGAAGTATTAATCTACTTTCCTCTCAAACAGGACATGCCGCCAACGTCTCGTGTAGCACAGACAGTGAAATAAATTTTCTCTTGAAGGTAATTGGATAAAAAGATGTTTGTGAAAACCAAATATTTTATATTAAAATAAAAAGAATAAACGCATTTTAAATTTAACTGGTAGTTTCTGCTTCTTCTATTTATTTATGTGCCTTGTTAAAACAAGACAAACAGTAGCCAGGTTGACCAGGGCAATCGAAAGAAAAAGTTATAATCCTACGAACTTTTTTATTTACTTCACGGTAACTTAAACCTGAAGATTTTAATACTTGACGACAACCTCTACATGGCTTTCGCCGTTTTCTTCCAGGTCCTTCAGGTTTGGTAAAAGTATGCACTCTTTTTTTTTTAAGTGGTTTTTCTTCAAGTGATGTTAAAATTAAAACCTATTTTATTTCTTACCTTCCATTTCAAGCTTCGACGTAGCACTGTATGGTAGGATGACATCTGATCCGAATAGTCTACGCCTTTCTTTGCAGAGTTGTAATCAATTATACATTTCGGTTTCGCAATTTCCTCTTTTTGTCTATTCTGGTTTCCTGTTGGAATCAACTTCTTACTATGGGCTGGTACACTTGAAATCATTAACACAGGTCTCTTATCCATCCACTTAATAATTCTTAGTCCATCTTTCTTTTTTCCAATAACTTCTCTTCGCTTCATCTTTTTGGACTGGTTAAAAATAGGTGGTATTCCTTTTCTGTTTTCTCTCAGAGTTCCACAGTACATCATATTTTCTGCTAACAATCTTTTAACACGAGGAATTCCTGAATAAAAATTATCAGCAAATAATATTTTGCCAGCTTTATTTGTGATACACTGAAGTAATTTTAGAACAACTGCTTCAGAGTGTGCCACATTAACTGGTTGTTGTTCATTTTGCCCTGTGTAAATATTTATATTGAAAGTTTAACCTTCAGGTGAACAGAGTTTGTACAATTTCACTCCATATTTATGAGTCTTGTTAGGGATGTACTGACGTAAATGGAGTCTCCCTCTAAAAGGTACCATAGATTCATCTATAACGAGAATGTTGCCAGGCTCCATTATTCTTTGAAAATTTTGAATCAGCTTTGTAACTAAATTTTCTATTTTGTATAATCTATTAGTTGTATCAGATGTCCCATTATTTTCAAAATGAAGAAGTTTCAATAAAAGCAAAAAAGCGGTCTCGACTTAAAACTTTTGCAATAAATTTATTATAAGAAATATCATCTTTAGACCAATATAAATTTATATGTGGTACCTGAGTGAGACCCATTGCGATTATTACCCCTAGGAAGGCTTTTATTTCAGTTTTGTTCGTGGCTGCCCATGAATTTAATCTGGACTTTCTTGAGGGTTGCATACTTAATTGTTGAACAGCATAATTGTTGGTTTCATTAACAATGATATCCAATATTTCATCTGTTATAAAATGATTAAAAACATCTATTGGTTTCTGTACTGCACGTGGTTCAATATCAACTTATGTATTCTTTCTTACTACAAAATCGTCACCATCTACATCTTCTTCTAAATCGCACCATTCAGCACTACTACTACTCTCAACACTCTGTTCATTATTATCAGATAGAACTTGCACATATGTTGTAGTAATAATTTCGCCATCACTATCAATAGACGCATTTAAATCGGAGGATGATGAAGATTTAGGTAAATAACTTTTATCTAGTAATGAATCGTCACTGTCATAGGGATCTTCGATACTGTCAGTATCAGATGAAAATTGAGTTGCTATCTGCTCGGTCTCCATATCGTGTTCATCACCCTGCTCATTCTCCATTTCGTGTTCTACTATTTCTGTCTGTATTAGCTCTTGTTCATTTTCATTATTAGAATTTTCATAACTTTCAATGAACCCTGTATTATCGTTTAATTCATTTAACATAGTATTCGTTTCAGAACTCTCTCCAAAGTTTTTACAATCACTAATTGTTTGCTCATTTGCAACTTCTATTATCTTTTGTTTCACTATGTCCACCATATATCTTGCCCTTTTCGACATTTTCACAAGTACTGCTCACACTTTAATGAACTCTAATAAACTGAATATATATAATACAGCGACAGGCACCAACAAGTTGAAAAGAATGACACATGCCTCTCGGGTTCTGTGACGCATGGTAATAATAAATTTATGTTTATGGGCGGCACGTGTCTCTGGGGGCATGTCTCATATTACGGTTATCAGTAGCGAGAATTAAAAATTTGTGTTCGATGGCTATTTGTTACACTTAAAACGATATACAAATACCATTTTTATCGCTACCGCACGAGGCGGCGTTTTGACCAATTTTGCTACAGCACACTTGAAAACTTACGCACATGCCCCTGGGGATACGTGACGCAGTCAAGGTGTTAATACATGATATAAATTAAAAAGAAAAACTAAAATGTAAACCAAAAACCAATATAACAAATTTTTACCTTTTTAGTACTGATTAATTGTGAGATTATTTTAACATAATCACAAAGTTTTAAACTTTAAAAACGTTTTGAACAAAACCAAAAATGTGTTTTATGTTATTTTCCTCTGGTCTTCAAATGTAAAACTCATTACAGTCAATTGTGGTTTAATTACATAAAAAATAATATTTAACCTAGACAATGACACTGAAGAGTAGACTAATAAGGGAGTAAAACAATGATAAACACTGACAATGAAGTCTTTAAATTGGTTTTGCATTGGAAAGTGACAGACAGCTAGGAAAACAACACAACCGCAAAACCAAGTTATTATAGTTAACCAGGTTAATAAAATTATATATTATTGTGATTTTTATCCAGTAAAAAAATGACAGACAAGGAATTTCCACTAATCAACCAAATATTCCCAATCAGGTATACACTGACATATTCATATGTATGCTACTTTATTGTTACAAACACGTAAATAATAAACAAAACATGTTTTTACGATTAAAATTTAGTCAAAAAATAAATTCATAAACACTTGCCTAAAATTTTGATGGGAGTAACTTTCTAATAGATTAGGTTCTACTCATTTTAACAATACAACTAAGTATTCTACTTGGTAGATATTGATTATACTACCAATAATTTGTCACAGTGTACTGCTACTATTATTATAGTATCTCCAATGTTTTTACACTCTTTTTATAATAATAACAAAAAATGTTAAATTTGACGCATTAAGAACACAGCTGATTTCTACAATCTACAAACTCAATGTCAATGTCATGCTGTCAAATGTCATTAACAATTCCACTTCTTACTGAACCTTCTTAATGGTCTTATCAGTTAAGACCAACAATATCATTTTTAAAATTATTCATAATATAATATTATGAAGTGATTTTATCTTAAAATAATATATCCTAATAATTGTATTTACTTTTTATATTTATTTTTACTCTCAGTGGTGTAATATAGTTTACTGAAATCTAATTTATTTAAATCTATGTATTTTTAAGTTTACAGCACGAGATTCTTGAACAGTCTATCTCTATCGTCGCTATTATGAACCCCTTGCCCGTCCCGTCATATTTTATGGAAATCCTTGTCTTGAAGATTCTAATCTACGTAAACTGTTATGCACGTCGAAATTACCTTTTTCGTTACACTGCTTCCCTGTTAAATCTGAAGAAGTCGATCAGCAACTCTATATTAAGGTCCAGGGTGGCGGAATTTACAGGACTTTCCAGCTCCTCATAAACCCCTCCAGAGTAAATAATAGTCTACTGTCTTTGACGGACATGTTCTCTTCAAGTTAATGCAACACATAGTTCGCACGCCGGTTTCTCGAAAGATCACTTCAAGCATGCTGCTCATAACCTTCCAATCCAGATTTTCTAGTGCACGTCATCTTTGGTAAAGCCAAATTGTTGGTGTCATAGTTACAAAAGATTTTCTTTACAGTAGTTAGAGCACGTCATATGTCCTCGTATTTTGCCGTGTCTGTATAACATTTCCTGGTCACTATATACATCAAAGATCGGGGACCATCTTCTAATTGTAGGACTCTTCCAACTTTAGGCTGCTGATTTTTTTAGCTCGTCCAAGCTACCCAACTTCTTATTGAATACGGACGAGATTTCTTTAGTCATCTCTAGGCCTTTTGCAAGACAGTCGGCTAGAGAAACGTTTTCACGAACACCAAATAGATCCTGCTGTACTTCTGTGGTCACCCCGAATCTTGCACTCTGCGTAATCTGATATAAAATCATTAAAACTTGGTCTTCGGTCATCTTTGATCTCATGTTGAAGGGTTCGTGCTTGTTTTGTTTCATTTGAGCCATCATAAGCTTACATTTTGGCAACTTCTTAATTAGGTATATTTCATCATTTATTCTCTTTTAAATTTCATACGGCCCGTCCCATTGTCTTTGCAATTTAGAAAACAATCCTCGACGACGTTGTGTATTTATCTTTCAGTCTGTCATTGGCTATCTAGATAGGTTCTCATGCAATTTCATTAATGTTCGTCGCTCGCCAGATATTCTTCGGAAGGTCTTCAGACAACTCTAGGTCGAAAGCAAAAGAATTTCACGACCCAACATCAGGCAGGTTGGGGTCTGACTTGTAGTGTCATTTCTTCTTCTTCTTCATGTACCATGTCCTTTCAGAACGTTGGTTACCATCATAGCTATCTTAATTTTATTCACTGCCACCCCAAATAGCATACTTGCATCAACACCATACCAATCTCGCAAGTTCTTCAACCATGAGGTTCTTCTTCATCCTGGACTGCGTTTGCCTGCTATTTTTCCTTGCATGATATTTTGTAGCAACCTATATTTGAGACCTCTCATTACATGTCAGAAATACTCCAGCTTTCTCTACTTGATGCTTTTGATGATCTCAGTAGTCTTGCTGAGACGTTCTAGTATTGTGGAGTTTCGAATTTTCTCCACCCAGGAAACTTTTAAAATTCTTCTATAGCACCACATTTCGAAAGCCTCAAGGCGATTTAGATCAATTTTATTCACAGTCCAGGTCTTGACACTATAAAATAAGACCGAAAACACGTAGCAGCGAAGTAGGCGGATCCTCACCCGAAGTAGTGTCATTTACGGTAGGCAATTATAAATATATGAATGTGCTAATTCTAATCTCTTTGATGTTCAGATATAACTTTGGACAGGTGTTTACCCATCGTTCGGTTCATCCTCTTGACCATTTCATCCGATTGGGGATGCAGGGGTGTCGTTCTAGTCTTATTAACACCAATTAATTTACAAACGTTTTGTCTCGAAGTTTCGCCCTTGGTTGGAGTGGATCTCCAAGGGAACACCAGCTTCTTGATTTGGTATCGCATAGGCCTCAGTCCATTTCGTAAAATAATCCGTAGCTACCAGGATATGTTTATTTCTATCATCCGTTTCTGGAAATGGACCTGTAATGTCGATTGCTACTCTTTCCATAGGACTACCAACAATATACTGTTTAAGTGCCCTTTATGTACCAACTGGACCATTTACTGGACCATTACATCACTTTTACAGTTCACCAAATAGAACTGTTCTCGAACCTTTTGCAGAGTCTTCGTAATACCGAAATATCCATCTGATGCACTGTCATGTAACTGAAGCAATACTTCCGAAACTTTACTTTTAGGTACAATCAACTGAAGAAGCTTAGATTATGTACCATCACCGTTCTCAAAAGTTCTATACAGAAGACCATCTTTTAGCACTAGGCAATTCTATTGGCTCCAGTAGGACTTGACTTCTGTACTACATGCACTAATGTATTGCCAAACCATCACATATTTTAGTTTCATCGTTCGGAACAAAATTGGATTTAATATTCTTTCAAATATATTAAAAGTATATGTCCATATTTATGGACAGTATTTTAAAAAACAATAAATCTGTTTTGCTTGATAAATATTGACTTTAACTAGTGTTTCTCAAAACTTAAGCAGTAACCTATCAGAATGTAAAAATATTTTCTCAACAAAAACGTTCTGCCACTGGCTTCCTGCGATTGCACACGTTTCTAATAACTCTAATGGTAATTTTTCGGAATTTCAAGGTCTATATCATATTATATAGGTCGAAGTATGGGAAGCAATAAGAAAGGGAAGTCTTATATCTTCTACATGCGTGTTGCGTTACGGATGGTAGGAATTTATATTATAAACTCTCAACCACTTTTTCCATAAAACTTGAATTAAAAATGTTACCCCAGAAAAAGCTTGTATCGTCGGTTTATTGCCAAAACAAACTGACTCCACTTTTAAACTTTGAGAAATCTATGTTTTAAAGTTAAATTTAAAATGAAATATCGTGAATTTAAAAATGTTTAACTAAATGAAAAATATTAAAGTAAATAATATTGCAAACGAAAAGCTTTGTAAAAAAATTGTTAAAATGAAGTGAAAATAAAAGAAAACGCATGTAAAACATTTTTTGCGGAACTTTTCTGATTTTGGGTATACGAAGTTAATGATCTTCCAGTTTACATTGAACGCAACTATCGTCAGTATTACGCTCATTTATACTATCGTCTTATAATACTAATACAATTCACCCGTAATGACTCCTGATTCGCAGAGCTTTAATAGATCCTGTTTCTTTTTTTAACTAATGAGCTGAGATCAGGAGTAGGCCTTTTTAAAGTCTATTTCGCTCAGATTAACAGGGCGAACTTTTGCAAAAATATTAATTTCTTCATGGTCATAACTGTGATCGTACCTATGCAACACTAGGTATACCTGGTTTAGATCTTAAAAATATTTCAAACATTTTATTTGCAGCCAGTTTTTTAGCAACTTATTATTATTTTATCCATTATTTGTATCATGAGATACTACGCTTTCAATCGATAAAAACACAAACGTCCAAAACTCTACAAATAGTGGAATAAAATAAAAGGTATCTAGAGAGACATAAGTAAACAGAATTCCTATAGAGAAAACAAACTCTGGATAGAACAACCTCTAGAGAGAAAATAAAGGAAATAAAGAGGACAGTTCGTAGCTTTACCAATTCAGGCTAACACAAAGCACTGTGTAGGCCTCAACAACGAAGATTTCCACTACGACATCCTACTAAAAACAATCAATACAAAAAAAAAACATAAAAAGGCCTCGGTCAACAAAAAAATTAAAAAACACTAACAAAAACCCGGCGCAAGCCACCCAAAAAAATCCCAAACAACCGGGCACGTAGGGCCCAAACTCTTGAGCACCAAGTCTTCTAACTAGGCGTCAGCCCAGAGTGGAGGCTTGAGGTCTAAGAAAGCAATTTTATGAAGAGCATTTGGCTGATAGTTGTGCTTCTATCGCGCATCAGAGTGCTATAAGGGGAAAAGGGATGGTGTGGAGCATTGGAGCGTGGTTAAGTGACTCCTGTTTTTACTCGAGTTAACACACACAACGACGATGCTGTAATTGCGAATTTTTTAATAGTTGATGGGGTCAGATTTTGTTTTTGAGAGTGAGTCACCCTCTCCAATATATATTTGGACCATAGATGATATTAAGCGACATAAAATGAATATTAGTAACTAACTGTTGCTTAAAGCTTTGGTGTCTACAATAAGGCAGAAATTCTTTTGCCTTTTTATAAGCAATTCTTCTTGTTAAGACATTGTCTTATTCATTGTCTCCTTCACTCTGCTTATGTGGTTATTCCATTCTTTTTGTCCTATTCTCTCCCATTTCCTGTAATTCTTCTCAGTACTCTCATCTCTGTCGTTTCCAGTAGCTTTTGCGTTGTTTCTGTGTCAGGTCTTGTTTCTGAGGCATATGTCATTATTGGTCTTACACTGGCTTTAAAAATTCTTGACTTCATCTGTGTTGGATATTGTTATTAAGACACTCTACCAGTCTCTTTGGTTTTTGTACTTGATCTCTTATTTCTTTGTCCTTTTCTCCATAGCTAGACAGGGTAATTTCCAGGTATTTTATTTCCATTACTTGTTAAATACTGATGCCATCAATTTCTATTTTACATCTGATTGGTTCTTTACTGACTACTATTGTTTAGTTTTCTGAGATGAAATTGTCATATTAAATTCTTTTGCTCTTTGTTAAATCTGTGGACCAGTCTTTGCAGACTATCTTCATCTTTGGCTATCAATATTGCGTCGTCTCTGTAACAGAGTATTTTTATTTCTTTGTTTTCCATTCTGTATCCTCTTCCTTTGTTTACGCTTTTGATGTTTATGAAACATATTTATGATAGACAGAACTTGG